GTCCATTTGTCTTAAAAAGATGCCTGCGGTCACTAAAAAAGCTAAAATTGTTGATACAATGCATTGAACGAACTGCACATGCAGTTAAGAGCCATTTGTTGAGCCAAAACAGTCTACTGAATCTCTCAGCTCCTCTCCCGGTCGGGGGCAGAGGACCACTGATAAACACCTCAGCATTCACAGAGCTGACTGTTTCTAGGAGATTATCGAAGTGCTCTTTCAACTTTTCTGATTGTTGTTTTTCAATGTCATTAGAGCCAATGTGCAGAATTAAATTTTTCACAGTTGGGTGTTCAGCCACAATTTCCAAAATTCTTTCTTCCAAGTCAGACACCATATCCTCCGGGAAGCAGAGTACTTTGGTGTCGTTACTACTTTTCATATCTTTTACAGAAAAATCACCCACAATCAGATTTTCAGGCCCTGTCGTTAGCTTTCTCTGTGGCTTTAAGTTAGCAGGTCTTACCCTGCTGCGTGGTGGTGGAGGGTTATCCAGACATTTAGAGGGGGATCCATGGTCCTGCAACAGTGGAGCAAACCTGTTTTGTAGTTTTACACCTGTTTGTTGGGGAGGTTTCTTGGTAGTTCCCCTCTTCTCAGTTGTCCGCTGCTTTGTTCTACGAAGCACGGGGGTTGAGGAGGCGTTATGCCTGGATGGTAACGCAGGTCAGTCGGCCAGATCACAGATATCGGGCCGCTGCGTCCTGCCAGTTATCCGTTCTCCCTTGTCTGGTCTTCTCTTTGGCTTTGCACCAAGTGTGGTCCAGGGAGGATTGTCGCTGGTAGATTTATTACCCTGTACAGAGTCCTCCAGTTTCTTCATAGTTCCATCATTGCTAGTTAGCTGGGTTCTAGCATGCTCTTGTCCACTGTTTTGAATCATTGCTAGAGTGGTGTTGTTCCCACATGGTCCATTTACTTCTACATTTACCTCTAACCGATTAACTTTTGTTTCCAGCAGTAAAATCTTCTGTACGAGTTTGTGGTAATCTTCCGTAGAGAAGGGAGGCATCTTCTGCTAATTACCTTTAGCACTGTAGCACAGGCTCAGGCTTATCTTGTTTGGTAGGCCTCCTCGCGTAGCGTTGAGGAAGTCGTAAAAATATTGAAAAATGCCTGTTTTATCTAAAAGAAAATAATCCCACTGGTTTTGTAAGTATCCAGGAGCTCCTACTCTTTGTTTCGTTAAGCGATTGCCGTTGCCAGAGGTGAAAGTGGACAAAATGAGCGGAGCTGCTCCTCGGTGCGACTGGTCTCGATGCGAGAGAGAGGAAGCAAGGCCCATTAATTAAACGGACGCAGCCCTGTATTGCCGGATGAGATCGTTGACTACACAAATCTCATCCCACAGGGCTGGGTTAGGTGAACCAGAGTCACAGCAGAGCCGTCATGTTCAGCGATCACACTGACTGTGTTGCATAGCGATACATTCTCTGCAAAATGGAGGCGGTGAGGCGCTCTATTATTAGGCAAGGCGATGTTCGAGGAAGCTGAGAGCGGCGGTTTGGGTGGAGGTGGTGAGCCACTGATGGCTCCAACTTTGGTGGTCCCGCCAGACCCAGCTCTCCCATTCCTTTGACTTCAAGTTTTGAGTAGCCCTTGCTGGGGAAGCCTACTCTTAAACGGGCTGGACCAGTACCTGCCCATTTCCCAATTTAGACGCGGCCTGTTTGCGGACAAGTTTCTGTCCAGTGGGGGGACAACACCAGATGCACTAGGGGGTCTGGGCGGCTCAACAGGAAATGTGGAGTCATCCTCCCCAGATAACAAAAGTACTCCACTCCGGCTCCGCCGTGGAGGCATCATAAGCTCCGTATCTCAAATAACTTGAAAACGGAGGCAGGCTGTAAAATGTGATTAAACAAAAACAGGCTTGTTAAAGACAAGCTTACACAAAGTAATTAGTCAATGGTAGGGTTAGCTTTACCTACGCATAGCATGTAGCTAAGGTGACTCACAACACAATAAGATCTCCATGCGACTACCATCTCCCTTCAGCACAGCACCATGCCCACAAGAAAGAAGACACACTACATCTAATAAACATGGGCAAACCCGCTCCTCCAGTGTTTAAAAGCGGAGAGAAGCGATACATTACACAAACAAACCAAACACTTGATAGAACAATGTAAAAGTAATTATTTATCTCTCGGCCACCGTCCCCTCTAAATCCTCAATTTTTCGCTATGACCTAAAAAGAATAAACAATGTGTTGAAAATCCCACTTGAAATAATGCTTTTAAACCGATAAGGAAAGAAAAAGAGCTAACCGCCCAGCTCGAAGAGGCTCGCGGAAGATGGGTGCTGGCTGAGGCTTTCGGGGCGGTTCCCAACAGGCACGTGTCTTGCTTAGTGGATACTGCCACTCTGAGCCTTCTTTCCCAGGTCTTCTCAGGCATTGCCGCGCAGTGCAGACAGGACTGTGGGTCCGCTAGCGCTGCCTGAGCGTGTTTTGCGCCCATGCAGGCTATGCATATAGGATTCAATTCAATTCAATTAATTTTATTTTGTATTGCCCAAAATCGCAAATTACAAATTTGGCTTTACAGTCTGTACAGATTGTAATGGGAAAATGATATGTGACCCTTGTAAATGCTTCATTTGTATAACCAGTTTATTAGTTGCAAGTGCTTAGGTCACAAAGGCCCTGACATACGAACTGATGTCTCCCACTTGGATTAGATGTTTCCAGCGGCATAGCTGTAGAGACTGAACAAAGTGTTTGTTATGTCTATGACCACCTTTGTTTAAGCATGTTGGGAGAGCAAGGACACGGTCAAAGAACTGACGTGTCTCACATGGACAAGGTGTTCCCAGTACCCTGGCTGTAGAGACTCAACAAGATGGTTAACGGTTTCTGTTGACGCCACCGATATCTGAATTTAGGTATAAGAACTGCCTCGATGTGTTGGGAAGTAAAGGAGGTTCTTGACAGTCTACTGACCACGTGGCTGTTGTGACCCTTTTTCCCTTGCAAGGAAATAAACGGAGAAAAGACATACTTGACTCAGAGCCTTTGATTCTTACTTAACGATTGTCTGTGCAAAATCTTCCACCACAAGATGCGACATCCTCTGTCATTGGCGGACTATACGGACGCGCGGATGGCCTCTGATTCATGGAGGGAGATCTCCGCAAACGTCGGTTTGCTGGTCGAGGGGTTTACAAAGTTTACAATGTCCACAGTGAAAAGCAACAATAGCGATGCACGGGGCAACAAAGTCTCTGATAAATAAAAAAACAAACCAACGACTTTCACACAGACATGACTCTCTAGGTCGTCTGGACCTCCCGGGATGGACATGGATGTCATGTGTACAGAATGAACAATGTAAAAGATGTATAAAACATTCAATTCCTATAACAGAAATTATTCAAATAATTGCGTAGTAGTAAGCCAGGCGCACGGCAGAACCACTGCAGGGACAACCACCATCAGATAGAACCACCACCCACAGAAGCTTCTGTGGGGAGGGAAATCACAAAGACTTTAGGAAAGGATAGTGTTGGTTTATGATGACAGTAATAGTAATATGATTAATATTTAAAACTAGAAAATGCATTTCCTGCTGAAAATACGTTGGAATGCAAAAAGCTGAAAGCTGAAATGAACTTGAGAAAATTGCTGAAATTACAGATATTAGAAAAGCTGAAATATACAGAAATGGGAGAAGCTGAAAGGAATTCCAATAGATTTGCTGAAAAAGCAGAAATGAAAATAGCTGAAATGAATTTGAAAATTTGCAAAAAATACAGAAATGAATATTTAAACATTGGTGTTAATACAGGCATAATAAAAGCTGAAATTATTTGAAAGAACTGCTGAAAATACAGAAATGGGAGATGCTGAATTTCAATAGATTTCCTAAAAAATACAAACATTACAGGAGCTTAAATGAATTTTACAAAATACAGAAATGACAAAAGCTGAGATGAATAAAAAGAGGTTTTAAATTGTTTGTAGTAATATTAGTAGTAGTATTAGTTATATTCGTAATTGTGGTATTAGTAGTACTAGCAGAAGAAGTAGTAATAGTAGGTTAAGTATCAATAGCAGTAGAAACAGCTGGAATACTAATATTATTAGTCATAGTATTTGTAGTAACATTAGTAGTATTGTATTATTACTACTAGGAGTCATTTTAATAGCAATAGAAATACTAGTAGAAGTGATAGTAATAGTATCATTTGTAGTAATACCACTAGTTGTAGTAGTAAAATTAGTAGTAGTTGTAGTATTAATAGCAGTAGAATTATGTCTGCATGAGTCAGTGCCACAAAGGCAATCAAAGACAGCCTAGCTAGCTATCTAAAGACATGAGAGATTTTCACTGGCTGTTTGAGCCACTTGTCAGCCGTTTGGTACTGTTATTGATTGTGCAATGCTAGCTAGCGCCATGTTAGCGCTATGTTAGCTAGCGCCATGTTCCCTCCCACGTAGGCCTGTGTGTTTGTCAGACTACGTAGGGGAGGGAGAGTGAGTGCTGGCACGAGCCTGTGTGGTATGGCGTTATATTTGTGCCACAATCCTGAGCGCGTAAAGTTTTGAGCACAGAGAACCATATTTTAGCAAAGAAAAACATATTCCGTGCGCGGAGTTTACTCAAGTGCTCGACGTTTCACTCACGCGCTCGCTCGACTTGCATCAGCGTTACATTTGTGCCACAAAACCAACCAATCAGAGAATTAAAGAAGGTCAATTGTGATTGGCTGTTGGTCTTCAATCACAACGCTAGTAGAACTACCTACAGCATCGCTGAAGCTCAGCGAGTTGTTGAAGTTTGCAGCATTTGTGCTAAATGATAATGGCCTGGATTAAAACACTGGACATTGGCTGTTGTGACCAACGATAGGATTAAAACACATTTTGGTAAGTATTTTTTTCTATTAATATATAAGTGCCTTGTTAGTTTTGTGTATTATAATGCCGTTGTGCTGTTTGACTTACAGTAACATATCTCCTTGTATGACTAAAGTTAGTTTGATTTATCCTTTTCAAGCAATCCAACGCTAGCAGCTGACCATGTCATCAGAACAGCACGACCTAAATGTCACACCACAGACACATGTGAGTAGTTTGTTATACTATGGTTATATAGTTGCTTTGTTTTATTACCTTTGTTGTGTTTGTCTGTATATTCTTAGCTTGCGAACTAGCTACATTTCGTTGCTTTGTGTTTCAACGAGAACGATTTACAGAAGAATGCAAGAATATGGCTTATCTGTAAGAGGATCATACAGCACAGTGACTGACCAAGAGCTTGACAACGTGATTTCAGCCATCAAAAGTCAGATGCCAAATGCTGGTTATCGAATGGTTCAAGGCCATTTGGTGTCGATGGGTCTTCGCATTCAGTGGTGGAGAATGATGGCCTCTATGCATCGCGTTGATGCTGCAGGGATCTTCTTGCGCCTCACAGAGCTAGGTTGTGTTCTGCGAAGAAGTTATTCTGTGCGAGGCCCTCACTCCTTGGCCCACATCGACACAAATCACAAACTGATAAGGTAGATTAAAATAGAATATTGATCTAATTATTTAAACGCAGAATGTTGTGGAGTAGGAGGCATGTCATACAACTCCCATATGAACGGCCTTAGTTATACTGTAACCTTTTTACCTCTTGAACAGATACAACATTGTTCTCTTTGGAGGAGTGGACGGCTACTCAAGGAAGGTAATTGATGTGTTCTTTTTTTTTATTGTTAATATTGTCAGCCCAATATGGATTGGGACCATAAATGCATATTGTATTTATAATATGCATTTTAAATACATATTCAATTATAGAATACAATTGAATATGTATTTCACATCAACATATGTATGTGTCTGTTTGATTACTTCAACCAAAATTGTTAAACATGCAAGAGTAAGTTGCTACTATAAATGGGCAATATTTGTAGTATTTTAGGATGCAAGATAAACCAAGTAATTTATTAAAAAAAATATATGAACACATAAAATAATTTAAGTGCCCAAGGCTGTAGAATGTTCACTAAACAAAACTAAAAGCTAAAGGCTATCCATTAGGATGTAACCCTATAGCTGCAAGAAGATTAACATGTTTCATGTGGTTTTATTAGATCTTGTACTTGGATGCTGAAACAAATAACAAAGCGTCAACTGCATTCTCATTCTTCCTGAGATCAACCCAGCTTCATGGCATACCATCAAGGTATTCTGCCATGACAAAATAAACTCATATCTGGAGAAGTGGCAGTTTTTTTACATTTGATTGTTTTATTAATTTATAATTGTATCCCAGAAACTATAACTTCATATTCTAAAGTTAAAGTAAACCTTTTGAATGTCATTTAAATTTGCTTTCATCTTAAGAGTAAGGGGGGATCAGGGTGTTGAGAATGTAGACATCGCACACTTTATGTTTGCCACACGGGGAACAGGAAGAGCGAGCTTTATCTCGGGAAAGAGTGTCCACAATCAGAGGTAAGTTGTTTTTGTCGGTTTTTGACTGCATAAATACTTCTTGGAACAATTGAATTGTTTAAATAAAGTACATATTGCTTTATAAATCAGTCAACCAATTAAAATGTCATTCTAGAATAGAGCGACTTTGGCGAGATGTCTGGGTTGCAGTCACTAGCAAGTACCATGATGTTCTTCACTCTCTGGAGGAAGATGGTCTGCTTGATTTCTCTGATGTGGTTGATCTCTTTGGCGTCCAGTACATCTTTATCCCTCGACTCCGAGCAGACCTTGATACCTTCACTAGAGGATGGAATAATCATCCTCTACGGACAGAGGGAGGTCGCAGTCCTGAACTGTGGTTTATGGGACATGAACAAGCTCTAGACGAAGGGGAAAGTCTTGAGGTACACAATTATAAAAGGACAGTTCACACTAAATATATACAGTATATATAAAAAAAAAAACATTTCACAGGCTCAATGGTGTTTTAAGCCGCCGACATCCGGATCCAGGCAGCTAAACATAACCATTGCCGTGCTGCCTGGAAGGACGTTGGGGGCTTAAAACAGCAAACACGGTTTGGCAAAGAGATATAGGTCTTGTTTCATGACATAAGACATTAAAGATTAGATTTAAATAGACAGATAACATCAGAAAAATGTTTTAAGGTGCAAAGTCTTAATTTATTTGAATTGTTTTTTTGCTGGATTTGTAGGAACTTCAAGATCCAGGCATTGAATGGGAGAGTGCAATACTGCGAGGAGACTCCCAACAGTGCAGTTGTGGTTCCAGAAATTGTATGCCCACTGAATGAGGAAGCCCTGGAAGAACTTCAGAGAACTCTTGATTCCCTGCAACATTCTCAGTCACATGGTCGTGACTTGTACACACGATACTTGAACGTTGTGTCCAACCAATGACATTTAAACATGAACTTCTTAGCTGGTTACAATTTTGAACATGGCAAAAACATCTGATTAACTTTACTAACGGACCAGCAAAAAAAGGCACTTCAGGAGTGGCACCCTTTTGGATGTATTACTAACAGTAGCAATAATTGCTTTGATTGGAGTAGACCTAGTTGTGTTAAACTCTGCGGAACCCACCACCATATTTAACTGCTTCACTCATGATTCTCCTAAAGTCAGTGTAAGTGCTAAGATGCTGTACTGGAAAAGTCACAGTCTGAGTGCATGCACTCACAATTGGGTAGCAAACTGCGTGATCTCCTAGTCGCTCCCTGCAGTTGTGGTCAAAGTTGCATGTTATTTTGAAATGTCTCTTTTCATCAGGGAGCATGGGGATGTGGGACTGCCCCGTCCTCCACTGGAGCACGTGTGGCACTGCAAGAGGCTCTGTGTCACCAGCTGCACGGTCTGTCTCCCCATCTGCGATTGATGTATATTTCAAATAACATGAAAGAGAAGCTATTCAAACTTACAGTATTGTCTTATACACATTCTTGGATAATACATTGGTTATGTGCTCTGTACATTCAAATGGTGTTATGTGTAATTGTGTATGCACACTATAGAGTATATAGTACCTGACATTTCAACCTCCTGCAAGAAATCTTGCAGAAAGTTGATGATCTTCCGCTCAGTTCTCCCCTTAGATGTCTCCTTTTTACTGAAATTGGGCTGGCAGTTCATGATTATGAAATCAGCACCAGGCTATAAAGAAACAGTGAATGCATATTTAGTTAAATATTTTAAGTGTTCAAATATAGGCTTGTAAAGGCTATACAAAATGAAGATTCCAATAAACAGTACAGGCCAAAAGTTTGGACACACTTTCTCATTCAATGCGTTTCCTTTTTACTTTCATGACTATTTACATTGTAGATTCTCACTGAAGGCATCAAAACTATGAATGAACACATATGGAATTATGTACTTAACAAAAAAGTGTGAAATAACTGAAATTATGTCTTATATTTTAGATTTTTCAAAGTAGCCACCCTTTGCTTTTTTATTAATAAGGGAAACAATTCCACTAATTAACCCTGACGCTTTGTCAGGTGAATGCAAACCATTTCAGGTGACTACCTCATGAAGCTCATTGAGAGAACACCAAGAGTTTGCAGAGTTATCAAAAAAAGCAAAGGGTGGCTACTTTGAAAAATCTAAAATATAAGACATGGTTTTCAGTTATTTCACACTTTTTTTTTTAAAGTACATAATTCCATATGTGTTCATTCATAGTTTTGATGCCTTCAGTGAGAATCTACAATGTAAATAGTCATGAAACTAAAAAGGAAACGCATTGAATGAGAAGGTGTGTCCAAACCTTTGCCCTGTAATGTATATCTAGGCAAATGTAAGAAAAGATTAAGTGGCAGTTAAAATTGATACTGTTGGCGCACATTTAAGTTGTTTTGTACTCGTGTTTTCCGGCGTGTTGTTTGTGGCTTAAAATAAAAATAACTTACTTTCAAAACTTCTGAACTTAACATCGGATATGTCAATCCATTTATTTATAACAAAAATAACAAACAATTCGGTTCACAATCCGCCGTGCCTCACGGTCAAAAGTTATCTGCCTCGCTGTGCGCCACACCTGCACTAATTAGCCCTGGTGTTAAATAGGCTGGTGGCAAAAACAGCGCCATCCCATTGCAGTATTCAGAATGGCTCCAACAGATACCTTGATAATCTTCCCGGGAACAAACAGGGAGCGGCAAGCTTCAAGGTTTACAGCCATCTGGTTCACCAGGCCGTACAGTTCCATGCCCTTTCGATTTTGCTGCAGCATTGGAATCAGTCTTGTAGTAGAATGTAGGACAATTGCTCTTTGGAGAAAAAAACATGGTTTGAAATGTTTATATTTTTAAATGAATAATATTTTAAAGTGTAATATTCTTACCGAATGATGCTTTCTTTGCATTCCAGGGTGATCTGGCTCGTGTATCCACAGCTTATAATTTCATCAGTGTTCAACATCAGACACTGAGCATCTGCAGAATCGTCGACCTGAGAAAAAAACGAAATAAGCTTTTTTGAAATAAAGCAGCTAATAAAATGGGTGTAAAAAACAATCTATCTTATTTATATCTAAAGTGCTCACCTTGCTGATGAGTTGACAAGATTCTAGATCGGCCACATCTTCCTTAGACAGAGAATTTAAGTCCACTTCTCCTGTGCAGAGGAAGTTGTAGCACCACTCTCTCAAAAAGCAGGAGGTGGGCCACCTTGTGCAAGGCTGGCTGCCATTATTTCACCAATAGTTCTGTGTGCAAGGTAGAAAACATCTCAGTAAAAAAAATCCAGTTCATCCAGTTCATGGCAGTAATGTGTAAAAAAAAAGGATGTACCAACCTGAAGTTTTCGTTATCAAGGTCTGTCAAAGAGTACTTGGGATTTTTACCCTGGTTTCCAGATCCTTCAAAGAATCTGTTTTCAATACCTGAAACCATATCTTAGACAAAACAGCAATACCCAGTTTTAGCTTATTGATTGGTTTTGTTTCATATTCGAACACAGCAGTTAAATGAACAACTTACCAGTTAAAAACTCTTTCCTAAGTGCTCCTGTATCAATACCTGCCTCTCCTATATACACCACCTTAAGAGCACTGGCAGGAGACGCAGCTTTCTTTCTTTTCCACTGGAGAATGCCCCTGTCTGGAAGGTCTTCTCTGTCCACACACAACTTAAATTCTGTTGTTGTGTCAACTTGATGTTCAAGGAAGTGCAATACATCTTCCGTACTTAAAGAGGACAGAAAACATAAGATAGTCCCAAATTATCAAAAACAATTTGTATACATTATTGCCATTTTATAGTTCCATCAAGCAGTATGCTGAAAAGTGTTTGGAAAAAAATCAAATTACATGTGATTATAAATGTGCTGTGTTAAATAATTTGATAAAATGTGATGCCTAGTTAAGATGGCTGGAAAACATGGATTGTGTAAATTGTGGTGCACATAAATATTTTTGTATTTGATATAAACTCACACTAAGGGCATATAAATACCTTCTTGGTTTACATACTGGAGATTGAGCATGCGTACTTGGGCCGTTGCCATTTGCTTCAGAAGTCACTGTACATTCAAAGCTGTACATGAAAAACAATGCAGTTTCAAACACCAAACACTCCATATGTATACATAGACAAAATATGTATTATACACAGAGCTCAACAAAGCAGATTACCTCTCTCCACATAGGCTAGCATGGATTGTGATCTCATTGTCTGGGAATTATTTGGTGCAAATTGGACAAACCACCTGAAGTTTGAAAGAAAGTTGGTTCATGTTACAAGCAAGTGAAAAAAAGATTACTGGTGCAAAAGGCAATTGAAGGGATTTTGGATTTTAGTTATGGCCTTACCTTGCACTTGTTCTCCACAACCCACAACTCATCAGAGGACTGCAGGTTTACAAAACGGTATTTTAAGTAAACTATTGTTATATTTTTATTTTCATTTTAACTTTGGAAAAACAAACTTTCTCTCACCTCTTCACAAGTCTCGTCGGAAGAGAGTTTTCCCTTGCAAGTCTTTATGTGTACTGCAAGCATATGCAAAGGCATCACCTCTTTACACTGGTAGCATGTCTTCCTTGGCATTTTGGAAAAATGCTGTGAGTCAGAAGGCAGAGGAGAGGTGTCTAAAGTCTCCTGGAGTGGTACGATGTAAAATGTGGCTTTGCCCCCTGCTGACACAGCTCGCAGAGCTTTGACAGAATACCCCTCTGCTTCTGGTGCAATGACAATCAGCTTTCGTCGACCACTGCCACCTTTATTTAGAAAAAGAGAGGGAGAAAAATGCCTTAAAACTATGTGTTTTGTTGAAGAAAAAAAATTACATTTTGTCAGTCATCTCTAATGCTTACAAAATAGTAATTAATACACGATAAGGGTTTACACGCACCAAAAATAAATAGGAGATTGGCATGTGATAAACAGTAAATATGATAATTCAACAAAACAATCTTAGTCTTACAGACCAAAGCCATCCCCCACAAAGATCCTCCATTTTTGGAAATGCGTTCGTCAGGAGCTTTGAAATCTTGGTTAACAACAATGTAAAAATTAAAATAAAGATACACACACAAATCCTTGACAGTGAAAAGCTAAAGTACAGCATATATTTTACAATAACTACCTTTAATTACAAGTCAAACAGTTGGACTGAGAAGTTTACCTCTGTGTGGTCACCATCTTCCGGAAGAGACACAGTTTGTCTTCCCATACCCGCCTGGAGGAGTTCAAGCTCCTCAGTTGGCAACGGTGTATGTAATGTACTTTTTGGCAGAAGATAAAAATTAAGAGCCGTTGTTTTGCTGGTCTTAAGGTGCTTGGTGGCAGTCAAACACCTCTTTTTACCATGACTGAAATTCGATTTGAAATATCCTGGAAAGGATCTGTGGATTAAAAGGTAGCTTTATATTAGTTTATTATATATACAGTATATATAACAATCAAGCCAATATTCTAAATAGCATATTTTTTACAATGCACTTGGTCTACAAACCAAAGTCCTGTCTCAAGGTGAATCATAACACCCATTTAAATTTAGACATCCAAGTGATTAAAACGACTGGACATAATGTTACCAAATTGCATTTACGACGTGGACTTAAAAATAATACATTTCATCATGATTTGAATATGAACATATCTAGGTGAACGAACCTTGTCATTTCTTGCTGCACAGTTCTAGGGACAGGGAGCCCCGTCTCTGACGGCCGTGTTGGGCAGTTAGTGGCCATACTGTTTTGCAACACAGACACCACATTTCTGGCTGCTGACTCAACTGCACCATGACCCTATATCGATTTAACATGTTAGACATAAAAATGACAAAAAATAAGGTACAGTTTTTCATTTACAAAAGTAAGCCATGCTTGCTACACTAACAACATTAATGTTAGCCGGTAGGTTAGCTTAAGTTATAGCTATATCTCCGGCTAGCAAGCGAACTTAATTTTTTCCGAAACGGTCGGATAATAGCAGGTTTCATCAAATGCACCGAAAAACATAACATCACAAAACTAGAAATTACTAACTCACCTGACGTTGTGGCGTCACAACAGCCAATCACAATTTACCTTCTTTAATTCTCTGATTGGTTGGTTTTGTGGCACAAATGTAACATTACATTACATTACATGTCATTTAGCAGACGCTTTTATTCAAAGCGACTTACATTACACTTTAAACCCATGGCTTTTTTCACATTTTTGCCCGGGGAGCAATTAGGGGTTAGATGTCTTGCTCAGGGACACTTCGACATGGAACAAGGGGCAGCCTGGAATCGAACCACCACTTTGTGCTTCACCTTCTCTAACCCCTGCGCCACGACGACCCCACGCTGATGCAAGTCGAGCGAGCGCGTGAGTGAAACATCGAGTGAGCGCAGAGTGAAGAGGTGGAGAGAGCGCAGCAACAGCTGCCTGCGCGCAGAAAACGAGTTTGTGGAGAGGGCACTTGAGTAAACTGCGCGCACGGAATATGTTTTTCTTTACTAAAATATAGTTCTCTGTGCTCAAAACTTAAAATTACGCGCTCAGGATTGTGGCACAAATATAACGCCATAGTGTGGTCGTCATGGAGACGGCGCAGCTGCTGTTTTCACGGGCTGATCACAGACAGAGTAAACGGATTTTACCAAGAAACCACCCCTCAAACAAGTGTTCACCAGCGCAAAACTATAACAGCTATCTAAAAAATACGACGTTTTTACGAGACCCAAGACCCGAACGCATGGATGCGTTTTTTATGTCGTCCGGTGATAAATACGGCTCCTGTTGCAGTTTACAAAACGTGTACCTTCTGGATTTTTTGAGAAATATGTCGTCAGATTTGTATTGGAGCCTATGGGGCTTTTGGCAGAGGTTGTGTCACTCTTAACACTCCTTAAACCAAAACTAAAGAAATCTGGGATTCCATGAACACATCCCAGTGAGTAAAACATCAACGTGCCAGAAAACATCAATTTGTTGATAAATGTGTCATGTTGTAACGTAAGGTTGAAAGATAGACGATATTAACGTTAAGATTTTCATAATAATTAATGAACTGGTCGGCGAAATTTGGTCTACGCGAAGACGTAATTTCAACGTATTTAATATTTCACTTAAAACGTTATAAATATGAAACTACGGACTGCGTGCTGTTAATAAGATGCGTTTAAGACATAATAATGCGGGCAGGTTCAAACATTACTTGTAAACACGTGACTCCGCTCACATCTGTAATGCGCATGCGCGAGTTCTTAGACGCCTGCAGAGCTCCGAGCGGACGCAGCACGAGGCGAAGTTACGGCAGCAGAGCGACATGAACGGGCTGATAGAACCACGACTACCGGCTCCACTACTCTGTAAGTACGGGAGTGTTCGGATGAAGCACACCTGGAACTATAACCGGGTGTTTTACTTGTGCTGCCCACCCGATACGGGAAAGACGGTCCTTTTTGTTAAGCTAGTTAGCGTTAGCGCAGGTAGTTTGCTAGTTAGCATGCTAGCGTGCAGCATGATGACCTGGACCAAAAGTAAACATCCCAGAATATTTTTCGTGTGTTTGGTGTTACTAATGCGTTAGGTTGTTGCTGTACCCATAAATGGTATTGCATTTTACATTGAAAATACGTTTTTAAAGCAATGGGGGCTAAATACAGATTGCAAGGGTGAAGGGCTGAATTCAACAAGTTGTGCTCTGTAAACAAGAGGGCCAACACATTGTAAGTACTGCTGCTTAAATCATGATACTGTGTAATATACCTGGAAATGTTACTCCAGAAATACCATAAGTTGCAGATGAATTGTTATCTTGTTGATAATGTAATAAGTAAACAATCTATAAATTAGGGTTCTAACACACCTGCTGCTGTTATTATTATTAGTTTATTACTGTCATCATAAACCCAAATGACCAACTTTGCCTTTGTGCTTTTCCACCTCACTGCCTTGCTGTTTTCCCCTCAGGTTTCTCCCGGTTGAAGGTTTTTTACATTTTGGGGGTTT